TCTTCTCCGTCTTCTTCTTCTCCGTCTTCTTCTTCTCCGTCTTCTTCTTCTCCGTCTTCTTCTTCGTCTTCTTCCTCCTTTTATCAATTATTTTATCTATTTACATTTCAAATGTTGTCCCCCTTCCTTGTTTCCCCTCAGCAAACCCCTATCAAATCCCCGTCTCCTTTGCCTCTTTGAGGATGCTCTCCCATCTACCTACCCATTCCTGCCTCACTGCTTTAGCATCTCCTTATGCTGGTGTCTCAAGCCTCCAAAGGACCAAAGGCCTTCCCTCCCATTGATACCAGATAATGCAATCCTCTGCTACATATGTAGCTGGAGCCATGGGTCCCTCCATGTGTACTCTTTGGCTGGTAGTTTAGTCCCTGGGAGGTCTGGGTGGTCAGGTTAATTGATATTGTTGTTCTTCCTATGGGTTTGCAATCCTCTTTAGCTCCTTCAGTCCTTCCCCTAATTCTTCCATTGGGATCCCTGGGCTCAATCCAATGGTTGGCTATGATCTGTGTTGGCCAGATGCTGGCAGAACCTCACAGGGGACAGCTATACCAAGCTTCTGTCAGCAAGTGTTTCTTGGCATCAGCAACTGTGTCCAGGTTTGGTATCTGCAGACAGGATGGATCCCTAGGTGGGGCAGTCTCTGAATGTCATTTCCTTCAGCCTCTGCTCCATTATTTTGTCCCTGAATTTCCTTTAGATAGGAACAATTCTCAGTCAATTTTTTGAGATGGGTGACTGGCCCCATCCGTCAACTGGGGGCCATACCTATCTACTGGAGATGGTCTCTACAGGTTCTATCTCCCCTTTGTTGGGTATTTCAACTAATGTCATCCCCGTTGGGTCCTGGGAGCCTCTTGATTTCCTGGAATCTGTAACTATCTAGTGACTACCCTCAGTTTCCCATCCCCCACTGCTACATATTTCTGTTTAACTTCTTGACGCTCTATACGTCTGTCCTGTCTCATCCCATACCTGATCCTGCCTCCCCTTTTACCCTCCCTCTCCTCTCTTCCTCCAAAGTCCTTCCCACCCTCTACCTCCGGTTATTATGTTGTTCTCCTTTCTAAGTAGAATTGAAGCATCCATACTTTGCTCTTCTTTCTTCTTAAGCTTCATATGGTCTATGAGTTGTACCATGGGCATTCTGAGCTAATATCCACTTATCAGTGAGTGCATACCATGTGTGTTCTTTTGTGTTTGGGTAGCCTCACTCAGGATGATATTTTCTAGTTCCATCCATTTGCCTGTGAATTTCATGAACTCATCATTTTTAATAGCTGAGTAGTACTTCATTGTGTAAATGTACCACATTTTCTGTATCCATTCTTCTGTTATGGGACATCTACATTGTTTCCAGTTTCTGGCTAATATAAATAAGGCTGCTATGAATATTGTGGAAGCATGTGTCCTTGTTGTATGTTGGAGCATCTTTGGGGTATATGCCCAGGAGTGGTATAGCTGGGTCCTCAGGTAGAACTCTTTACAATTTTCTGAGGAACTGCCAGATTGATTTCCAGAGTGGTTGTACCAGCTTACAATCCCACCAACAATGGAAGAGTGTTCCTCTTTCTCCACATTCTTGCCAGCATCTGCTGGCACCTGAGTTTTTGATTAGCTATTCTGACTGGTATGAGGTAGAATCTCAGGGTCATTTTGATTTGCATTCCTCTGATGACTAAGGATGTTGAACATTTCTTGAAGTGCTTCTCAGCCATTTGAGATTCCTCAGTTGAGAATTCTTTGTTTAGCTCTGTATCCCATTTTTAATAGGGTTATTTGGTTCTCTGGGGTCTAATTGCTTGAGTTCTTTGTATATATTGACTATTAGCCCTGTATCAGATATAGGGTTGGCAAAGATCTTTTCCAAATCTGTAGGTTGCTGTTTTGTCCTATTGACAGTGTTCTTTGCCTTACAGAAACTTTTGAATTTTATGAGGTCCCATTTGTCGATAGTTGATCACACAGTCTGAGACATTGATGTTCTGTTCAGGAAATTCTCCCCTGTGCCAATATGTTCAAGGCTCTTTCCCACTTTCTTTTCTATTATATTCAGTGTATCTGGTTTTATGCGAAGGTCCTTGATCCACTTAGACTTGAGCTTTGTACAAGGAGATAAGAATCGATCAATTTGCATTCTTGTACAGAAAGCCAAATTTTTAAAAATCACTTTGAGTGCTTAACCTTCAAAGTTTTGCTTTGCATTAGCACATGTTGCACAAAATGAGTTTCTTTTTCTCTTTATTTACATGCATGCATGTGTGCAGGTACCTATTCTCAGGTGCCTTCAAAAGCCAGGAGAGAGCATCATGTCTCCTTTAGCTGGGGTTATATACAGCTGTGAGCTACCGGTGTCTGAAATTGAACTCTAGTCCTACAGTGAGGCAGCAAGTGTTAACTGCTGATCCATATCTCTAGCTCCTCCATTAGGACATTTTCAGCCATGTTTATAATGCACTTATGACATATTCACTTATATTCTGTTAGTTCCCATTCCCTCCTTAAAAATTCCCCTTGTTTTTTGATGACTTGGTTTTTTCTAATAGTTTGAATACCAACATAACAGCATATTTGGATTTATTTATTTAGTGTGAGAGACAGGGGCCTCATAATATTCAGAGATCAACTTGCAGAGGTGCCTTGTAAACACTTAACAGCACAAAAACAATCCATATATAAAACTTCCACATGGCCTTTGACAGGAGGCTAGAGGAGAAAAATAGGAGGCAGGCATGCAACTGGGCTATGTGGAAATGGCGTGAGAATGAGGAGAAGTTGGCAGGATATTGATGGTCTGATATTTGTAAGTGATATGACAACTCCAATGTACATTTAAGACGATTGGTGTTTGTGATATGGTGGCTTATGTTAGGCAACATGCAGTTTGGTCTTTTCTTCCAGCTGTGTAATGGAATTACAAAATCTTTGTAATTTCCTGAGTGCTTAGTGGGATTAACAAAACCATTTCCTCTGATGTTTGGAGTGTTGCCTTGATTCCGTACAAGTAGCTTCCATCCATTTGATGTTTTCCCAGTGATAGGATCAACTTTTACTCTAATGAGATGATCTTTGGTAGACATAGTGGCAAGTCCCCAGAACAAAAAATTAGCACCATCTTCTGTAACTATCATTCTCATCCCAAATCCTCAGCAAAAGTTCAATTTGGTTCAATTTTGCTTTCATGGTAAATCCTGTGTTTAAAAAAAAAAAATTCCCAAAAGTTCAGAGTGTTTATTCTGTTTAGCATTAACTGTCAGCTTGACCTAAAATAGACTGTCTTAGTTCATTAATTGTCTTCATTAGCTTTGTATTTTGGCATATAGGTGAGGGAATATCTTGATTATAATTGATATAAAAGGGCACAGTGTATAGCGAGTAAGCATGGTTCACTGGGTAGATGGCTCTGGTCTTTAGAAGAATCTAGCTAGCTAATTATGAGCCAGCAAGCAGATCCTTCATGAGGGTTCTTGCTCTGACGTCCTCAGTGATGCTGTGACCTGGAAGTGTAAACCAAACCATTTCCATTTTCTTTGGTCAGAGTGAGTGTTTTATCACAGTGATAGAATGAAATGAGAGCAGGGGTCTTCTAGTTTGGCAAATATATCCATGTGGAGAACTCTACATGCATGAGGCAAAGGTTCTAGTACTTGGAATCCTTCCAGGTTTTTCCATGCACATGCTCTCTCTGATTCTATTATCCCTATGATATCTGTTGACTAGACTAAACTGGCAAGTGAGATAACAAAACATTAAGCTTTATGACCTCCTCAGAAACTTAAACACAAGGAGTAGGATTTAAGGATGTCAGCCTGTAGTTGACTGGTCAGAACCACAGGTTAGATGAAATGGACTTAGTAACTGATACCTAAAATCTAGAAGGGAGGTTATCTGAGAGAGACGCCCAAGAAGAAGAAGAATGTGTGTGTGTGTGTCTGTCTGTGTGTCTGTCTGTGTGTCTGTCTGTGTGTCTGTCTGTGTGTCTGTGTGTGTGTGTCTGTGTGTGTGTGTCTGTGTCTGTGTGTGTGTGTCTGTGTGTGTGTGTCTGTGTGTGTGTGTCTGTGTGTGTGTGTCTGTGTGTGTGTCTGTGTGTGTGTCTGTGTGTGTGTCTGTGTGTGTGTATGTGTTTTATTAATATAAGTAATCAGACTTGCTGGGGTACAAATCATATTTTAGTTATGGTGTCTATCTGTATACTAAAGGCCATGGCTTCTACCCACTACCTTCCAGTAACATTCTGTTTGTTGGTTGTTGTGACAACCATTAACATCACCAAACACTTCCAAACGGATCCTAGAGAGTAAAATCACCCATAGTTGAAAACCACTAGCATTGGGCTTATTCCCAATCAGTAGAACTCTATAAATTCACAATTATTGCCACACAATTGTGCTTATAAATTTTATAAAACTATGATGTATGTCTGCTATCCTGACTGCTATCAGGATCTAAGGGATTTGTGCCAGTAACAGACAATCTTACATGGATCACCTAAAGATGTTATTCCTAACCTGTAATGTGTTTCTCACATGTAGGTTGGGTAAATGTGACATCTCAAGTGAGGCATGTGGCATAATTGCTACTTCCCTTATCAACTCTAAGGTGAAACATCTCTCACTGGTTGAAAATCCCTTGAAGAGCAAAGGAGTGATGTCACTGTGTGAGACACTGAAAGATCCAAGCTGTGTGCTGGAGACACTGATGTAAGTTGTTCTGGGAGAGCATGAGCTGGAGCTATTGCAGAGGCCTGCACATGGGTCGAAGCATCATAAAGATGTTCAAGTGCCCGCTGTAGAATACAAGAGAGTATGGGTTGTGTCATTAGACTCAATCACTTTCCATGCTTCAGCTGCCATAACAGTAAACAGAGTAAACGCAAGCAAAGATGTCGTGAGAGCAAGTTGAGACAAGTCAAGGCTAGTTCTGAAACTTCTTATATATTATTTTTAGTTTATTAAGATATTCTTATCATGTAAAGATGTTGCTTCTGGAAAGAGGTTGGTTACTAGGCCAGAGGATAATATAAATAAGAAAAAAAATGATCATTTTGAAGGCAAGACTTACTACATCTTACCTAAGTCACTATAAGCTATCTCCTGCCCTGAAGTTGAGGTTGTTTTCTCCTGGTAGAAAACTGTCAGATTATGGTCCCAGGGAAGCCATACTATATAACTTTTTATTCCATCAATCAAAGGCCTTAGGATGGGGAATGTAGTCAAAGACACATAGGTTTATGGAAGAGGAAGAGTATACATGCACAAATTATTATATCCTATGTAAGCAGGTATTCATGCAGTAATAAGTACACATGCAACTTACAGATATGACATGCATAAAAATGTAAGAACACTGAATATTGACCATTGTAGAGAGATCTGCTTATCAAAGACCACTCGTGCATATTAATATCTCTCACATGAACTGCTTATAAAGAGACCAAAAGTATTTCATATTTCATTTAATTTTTGGAATATTTTCATATAACGAGTCTTGGTAATGGTCCCACATTTCAACCGTAAAATTTATTTGCATACTGTATAAAAGTTGTGCACATGGCTTAAGTTTGCACATGCATATGGTTTTATACAATATTTTCAGTGCCTTTATGTTTTGACCTGGTTTAAGTACATGAGCACAGTTTTGTAAGTTTCTTATTGTGGCATCATATAATTTGGAAAATGTTTTATATTTTGGAGCATCAAAATTTTCCATTTTTCAATTAGGAGTATTTAGTATGAAGTATACTAAACTTTATAAAATCTATTTATAAATTAATGTATATGTATGTGTGCTTGTATGAGTTTATGTGTACCATCTCAGTGCACGAGACTGCTGAGGTCAAAAGAGGTCATTACTCCCCTGGAATTTTAGTTATAGGAGATCATGAGCACAATATAGGGGCTATGTGGGTGTTGGGAACTAGATCCCAAGTCCTCTACATCATCAGCAAGTGATTATAAATGTTGAACCATCTCTCCAGACCTGAAATAAAACTTGTGAAGGGAAAGGAAAAAAATGTGCTATAAAAAGCTGAAGGATGTTTCAGAAAAGGTAGGGGAAATGACATTAGAATACAATATTATTTGGTTATTTAATTACCACTTGCTATTATATAGTTGGTTAAATTAAAACTATGTTTGGTGAATAATAATTATAAAGAGCTACATTGATCATGAGTTGTCTTAAATAATTTAGACTTTAAGTACTAGAAGTAACAGGATTATGCAAAATATTTAAAATAACAGGATTTGGCTGGAGTAGTAGCTAAATTGGTAAAAACAGTTGACACTCAAACATGCTGAGCTCTGTTTGATCCCATGACCCCATGTGAAAAAGCTGTGTGTAGTGACACACTGAAGAAGTGGAAGCACCAGGATCTCTGGGCTCACTAGGCCACCATCCAAGTCATTAGAGTTCCAGGCAGGTGAGAGAGCCTATCTCAAAGAGGTATCCTGGTGTTCCAGAGTATGAGATCTGAGGTGTCCTCTGACCTTCACATGCATGTGTACCTACGCAGAGACAGACAGACAGACAGACACACACACACACACACACACACACAGAGGCAGATAGACACACACATATACACACACAAGACATACATATACTACCATAGACACAAAAAAGAAATTTAAAAATTCACTGGAAGATACACTACTGGAACAGGATTCTGCAAGATGATAAATTTCTAATACGAGTGGAAATTTTAGTGGATTGTTTATAAATTGGCATGTAAATCAATAGTCAATTTTGGAAACATCTATACTGACCCATATGTCAGTTTTCCAAAATGTTTTTTGAAAATATTTCCATCACTTATTTGAGAGAGAGAGAGAGAGAGAGAGAGAGAGAGAGAGAGAGAGAGAGAG